TGGGGAAAGAAGGGGCGTTGGGTTGTAGGCCATGACTAGGAGTTTGTAAGGCTTGGGGAGGGGCTCTTCTGTAAGAGGGCCGCTAACCCGGTATTCTGACTCCCGGCTTCTCTCCGTCTCGTTCCTAGAGTTTCGTCCTGGCGAGCCATGGAAAGGTTATCCAAACATCGACCCTGAAACTGACCCTTACGTCACTCCTGGCAGTGTCATAAACAATCTGTCAATTAATACTGTGCGGGAAGTTGACCACCTCAGGGACAGGAACAGTGGTACGTGTCAGCATTCGTTTGCTAATAGCCACCCACGGATCATTATCCATTCGGCTGAAGACGGTTTGCTGCTTTCCATTGCTTGTTTAACATTGATGGCGTGGGGGGGTTCGCCGCTAAAAGCCTCTTCCTGGGGTTGGGTGGTTTCTGGGTGCAGTGTAGCCATATGCGGAGCTTGCTGGCGTGTAATGAGAATGCGTAGCAGCAGCGCGTGTTCAGCACGGTCCCTATGTGTAGTGGTTTTGAAGACTGGTGAAACAACGTGGCAGCATTGCCATGCGTGGCCGTAGCAAGCAGTGGCTTGAGGGCTGAGGTGAGTGGAAGGGTTTCTAGTCTGGGCCCATTAAGACCCACAGCCTAGATGTGCGATTCATGCCTTTAGTTACCCAGTGCAGGGCAGTGGGTTACCCTCTCTGTAACTTGCGCTCTTCTTTCAATAGGGTCATCCTCATCTTTGAACACCACGCTGCCTTCAACTAGTGCCTGGTCATCCATTCGTGCCTCCAACTACAATGTTTCCCTCAGCAGTACAGCACAAAGCACTTCAGGTAGCACCTGTTTGCCTTAGACACAGCGCTCGTGACAAGGCACTGCACGTTCATTAAAAGCAGTGCTAACCGTTTCCCCTCGGTGGTAGCTGTAGTCATTTCCAAGGTGGTTCATCCTAGTGCAAGTTGCTAAACTGTGTAGTTTTTGTGAGCCGTCACACTCCTTTCCTAGAGTTCCAATGTGCATCTGTCCAAATGGATTAGAGTCAGTTGGGAGGATGCATGTGTTCAGTTGCTACCGGGGGGACAGTCGTCTGTCGGTTACTTGGGTGACAGATGCTTGGAAGAAGCAGCAGCACCTCTATAACCACGTTGGTATCTCCTGTCTTCAGTGCACAGTGAGGAAAGACTACCCAAAATAACAGAAACAACTTGCATTACCCTGTGTAAAGATCCAAGAGATGGGGATTAGAAAGCAGTTCTAAGGTTCCTGCTTTCCCTTCAAATGTGTTACAGGTTCCTACAGCATCTCCAATTCCCCAAGCACCATGTCTCTGTAGATGGTAGTGCCGCAGCTCCGCTGTGCTGCTGGTTTCGGACCTGTTTGTTGTAAGGTGGCAGTAACAGAAATGATGCAGCTATCATCACTCTCTTCATCTTTCTTTTAGTAGCCAGAAACAGTGATTCCAAATCAACGTGGTCTCCTGGATCAGTCACTAACACCTCTCTGGCTCATGAGCTGTGGAAGGTCCCTTTGCCACCTAAAAGCATCACTGCTCCATCCCGCCCACCACCGGGGCTGACAGGCCAGAAACCACCTTTGTCCACATGGGATAACTCCCTACGTTTGGGTGGAGGATGGGGAAATTCTGATGCCAGATATACCCCTGGTAAGTGTTAAACTAGGCAATCTCTTCTGTGTGTGCAGGTGAGACATGATTGTGGTTATCACTCTGTCAGGTTCACGCTGCCAAAGATTAGAGCCAGCCTGTGTTGTTGTTTGTTTTGTTTTTTTTAACCGCGTTTCTAGGGATTTTTCTAATGACCAAAGTGGATTCTTTTACTTTTGAGTTTGCTACACGTAGCAGTAACATGAACCGAGCTCAGTGTTCGTTCTGGCCGTAGTGTTAGCTGAGAGAGGTATTTAGCCATGTTAGTCTGAAGTCAGAAGGGAGGGAGGCTAGATACGCCCCTTCCTAGCGTTAGCTTCCACCTCTTCCTAGGCTCGAGCAGGTTGCTTGCCACTGCTGGATCTGGAGATCCTGGTTCTGCCGACTTTCCCAAAAGAGCCAAGTGGATTTTGGAAGTGTAGTGTCTCTTCCAACGAATGTAGGAGCGGTTCTGAACTCATGACAGTAGGCAAGAATGGAGACACACAGGTTTCATTTTATTTTAAATGGTTTCTAAGACCAGTTACAGTTAAATAACAACAGCACGTAGCTACCGATCACCTCAAGCCACCCAAGCACGTAAAAGTAAATGGACGAAGAGTTAAGGACACTAAATGTTATGCCAGGCCCACACAAATGCTTGCTTAGCAGTTTGACCTACAAGAGGGGAAGGTCTGGGCTTCCTCGCGTTTTCCTGCGCTCTTAACCGTTTCTGCTAGCGAGGATGTCGCTTTCTACACTCCTGCGCTATGTACTTATTAGTGTGGTGGGGTATTTACTACTACTTTTCCCTTGTTTAGGTTCAAGCTGGGGTGAGAGCAGCTCAGGGAGAATAACAAATTGGCTTGTTCTAAAAAACCTTACACCTCAGGTAAGCACGATGGAGACGTGGGTATTGAATGCGCTGTATTGGAAGTGCAGCCCTGGGACGGACGATAGGTGGCACTGTCACCCTCGAGCACGTCTTACATGCAGCCCTCGCTTTGTGTAAGCTGCTGACGTCTTGTGTGTTTGCTCCTCAGATCGATGGCTCAACCCTGCGTACCCTGTGCATGCAGCACGGTCCACTAATAACATTCCACCTTAACCTCCCACATGGTAATGCTTTGGTCCGTTACAGTTCAAAAGAAGAGGTAGTGAAGGCACAAAAATCTCTGCACATGTAAGTGTGGGTCAGAATTGCAACTGGCAGTCGATGCGCTCGCTGGTTGGCCGAGTGCCGCACGGGGAGGGCGTCGGGAGCTCCTCGGGGTCCAGGATGGATGCGCGGGGGGCCTCCTGCTTAGCTGCGGAGGCATTCCCAGCACCAGGCAGCGCAGGTGCAGCAAGAGGGGCTCCCTCCCCCTGCTCAACCTCCCTTTTCTCCCTTTCTCTGCAGGTGTGTATTAGGGAACACTACTATTCTTGCTGAGTTTGCCAGTGAAGAGGAGATTAGTCGCTTCTTTGCACAAGGCCAGTCTCTGACTCCTTCTCCTGGCTGGCAATCTCTTGGATCCAGCCAGAACCGACTCGGATCCATTGACAGTTCCCATTCGTTCTCAAACCGTAATGATCTAAATCACTGGAATGGTGCTGGGCTGTCGGGAACTAGCAGTGGAGACCTTCATGGCACTTCACTCTGGGGGAGCTCCAACTATTCCACAAGCCTGTGGGGCACCCCGAGCAGCAATGACACCCGGGGAATTAGCAGCCCATCCCCCATCAACGCTTTCCTTCCTGTTGACCACCTCGGTGGAGGTGGAGAGTCCATGTAACCTTTTACTTTTTCAGCTAATAAACTGTGACCTCAAGATGTAACAAAGCAGCACTAATTTGGACTTTTCACCTACAGCAAGGGGGTCACCTGTGGAAACAGTTACTTTCTGCACATTTTCCACTTTGTTTTAGCCCAAAACATATCAGTTTGAATACTTGAATCATGCAGGCCAATAGTATAATGTGAAAAAAGTATATATTTACACTTCCAGATAGTGCTATCCATATAAAACTGCTTGGAATGAGCTCATTTGTGTATAGTCATCATGTTTATTCTTTGAATTCCATTTTTTTTTTCTTTTTTTCTTTTTTTTTGCATTTTGCTGATGATGTTGGAGTATGAGCTTTTTAACTTTGCACTGAATGATGTTCTCTCTGTCTAATCGGCAATATCGGGGAGGCAGCAGTTCACGTGTAAATGTTTACTCAAGGATGTTCTTAAAAACAGTGTGCGCTCCCTACTATGCCTTGATGTATGCCTACCTTATTGTGGTATTGTGGCGTTTCAAGAACAAGTTCTGATACTGACTTAGGATTATGAATGAAAGTATTGCACCAGTTTTTTTCATGTGTAAAACTAAAGAATTTAGCTCTACAGTTTAAAAACTGTGGCCACAGCTGTGACTTGCAACCCAGCCTGCCAGCCAGGGGGGTCCTGCACTTTCAATAGGCTTTCAATTTTGTTTTGGGGGCGCCCGTGTCGGGGCCCCCTTGTTTACAGAATATTTTGTTTTTGTTTTTGAGAAAGATGTTTACTCTTCCATCATTTTAAAAATTTTTAAAAAGACAAAAAAAATTGAGAATGAAAAAGATGCTTTCTATCTCTGGGAATAACGAACAGTGTTTGGCCATGTCCTTTTGTTTTCTATTCCTGTCTCCTAAATCAAAGAGCATGGCTCTCAGGAAAACCAGTTCCCCAGTAAAAACTCCTTGTAGTTTCTTATAGGAAAAAAAAACTCAACTTTTAGCACTGATACTACTTATTGCTCTGTAAGACTTTTCTCTGCCAAAAAATCGCTTCAAGCTGGAGTTCGACACACTGCTTTCTGACGCTGTCTTTTTATTAGTGAGTGGTGGTGGTTTGCTAATAATCTGTAGTTATACAATTTTTTTGTAATCCCATCGAGTGGCTCCGTTTCTGCTCTTGTGACTGTGTTAACGTTTAACTGTCGTACCTTAAAGCCGATCTGAGTAACTATGCATACTGTAACCAAGTTATTGGGCTTACAGAATTGTTTGTTGTATAAAAAGTTTTAAATGTTTAAAGAGTTCTCGCAACTACTTTCTTGCAAAAGTAACGAGTTACATCTTTTTGCCACAAATGGTATTATTATATGATGCTTGCTTGGTCAAAGACTGAGAGACTAGGCAAGGGTAAAAAAATTTTAACAGTGCAGAAATCGCCATCATTTCATTGCCTTGATTCTAACTGTTTGTGTCCTAAGATGCAAAAGAAGTCAGTGGCTTTTAACTGTTTACAAATAGAATGTGATTGTAAAATGTACAGTTTGGTTGTGTTTGAATTATGAGGTTTCTCCAGATATTAATAAATCATGACGTTTCTGGCTGCTCAGCATATAACTGTCTATTTTTTGTGATTTTTTTTTTTTTATTTGTAGGCTGTTTTCTATACTATGAAAATATCACGATGATGCTATTTGCTGTGTGTTCCCATAGTCTGGTTTTCTTTTATTCTGGCGCATTAATTTTTAAGAGGTAACCCTGCATTTTATCGTCAGAGATCTCCCTCTGCGCCCGCTCGGAGATGAGATTCTAAGCTTAGAAAACTGCAGCTTGCTTTTCCTTCCCCTCTTCTTGTGTGAGCACCTTCAGGATGGCGTTGTCCTAGCCCCTGCCGTACTTCGCAAGCCCTCGCTTTCATCTGCCCCCACCATCTGTGCCCAGCTAGATCCTCGACAGGACACTTGCAAATGAGGAGAGCATTTTGGAAAATAAAAGTTTAATACTTAAAAATGTCCTGGTGTTTAAAATTTATACCTCATTGACATGAATCACGATGAACAATGCAGCAGTGCGGAATTTGTATTTCAATCTTCACAGTGGCTTAGCTTGTTCTGAAATGGCTGTAGGGCAGACCATCTATGTACATAGTATGATGCGACGTTCAGAAACTCTTAAAGACTTGTCTTTGCAACCCGCCAGGTGTAAGTCGTTAACTCTGTCGGATGCCAGCGTTGCGTGTCGCTCGACACTTCTCTGTAACTCCTTTACTGCTAACGATGCTGTCCCAAACCAAAGCTGGCTTCCAAAGTCCGGTCTGAAATCACGTCGAAAAGTTTAGCTGATAATCTTCAGGACTCCTGCACTGAGTAAAACTGACATCATACCTGCATTGATTGTATTGTCCAAGTGTTTGAGATTCCTTCACCGAGCTTGTTATGTGAAAATAAAACGTGGTTGGTTTCAAAAGCTGAACGGAGTTGCCTGTGGTGCGTCGGCTGCCGTCTAGGCCGTCCAGCTCCTTTCCAGATTGACCAGCTCCATGCCCTCGCAGTAGGAGTGGGGCCGCCGGGCTTTGTGCTGTGGGGAAAACGGGGTCACCTGTTAGCGACGGGCGAGTTGTACTTGCCCCAGCGCCCCTTCCCCCGTGTCCAGACGCGAGGGTCTGAGGGGCAAAGAAGCGGCCTCAGTTTGCCCTCTGCCCCGCAGCACACGGGCACGCGACCGGTGAATATGTGCACGTCACGAGTAGGGGGACGTGGCTGCCGGAGGAGCGCGGGCGTCCTGCTTACCGGCCGCTGTCGGGAAAGCTGGTGCAGGAGTGGAAACGGCGTCCACTGAATGGGCTCCATGGGCCAGCTGGACACAGAAATGTCACTGGCTTTCCCCGAGTCGATCATGGGGTCGTTCATGCTGCTGGAACTGGTTTCCCAGTCGTACTGGAAACTGGGAGGCGAGACAAGGGGTGGGAGCAAGAAGCAGCCTCCCCTTCGCCTTCCTCTCTCAACTGGTGCCTGGCCCCTGCTACGGCTCATGCAGTGTTCGTGGGGTGCAGCCCTCGGAGGGGCTCGAACGGGGAAGGGCAGGGGCCCGACGCGGCTGCCCCGCCAGCTCTCTGAACCCCAGCAGGAGACGAGGCCCTTCCAGACCCATTTCAAAACGGCCTTCGGGCTTGCGGGGCCCCGGGCTGCCCTGTTTCCTGCTGCAGGGAGATGCCACAGAGGGCACAGGCTGCTCCCTGGCCTCCGGGGCTGGGGACGGGCCAAGTTGCTCTTTCCATCACTCTGTTTGGAAAGCAGCAATAACAGCGGAAAGTTTGTTGGAGCCTGCTGGCCTCTTCCCTAACCAGGTGCATGCCGTCCTGCCCCGCACGGCCCCAGGCCTAGGACAAGGAGGGTCCCGGTCCCAAGCCCCTGGCCACAGCGCCCGGCCTCCTGGATTACCTGGGCTGGCAGGCGGCGCGGAGGGGCGGCGTGGGCTGCGGCTTGCAGCTGTCGGCGAGCAGGGAGTCGTCCTTGCAGCTGCAGCAGCTGTTGTCCAGCACCTGCAGGTGCAGCACCTCCTCGGAGGGGCAGAAGGCCGGGTTGTCCAGGGAGTTGGCGGAGGCCAGCCAGGACTGCGACCAGTACTGGGCCGAGACGTCGTCCAGCCGGCAGAACCGCCTGTAGCTGAGAGCGGAGGGCGAGCGGGTCCCGGGGGGCTGTGGTCTCAGGGCTGGCGCTAAGGCGGTCATCGTGCCAGCGCGGGCCCAGGGACGTGCTAATGGCAGCACCCCCAGGATGCTCTGACCCATGCCAGGGGCAATGCAGGGCCTCTGCCCGGCTGGCGTTGGCACGGGCGATGCCAGGCTCTGTGCCCCCTGCCCCTTGCTCACAGCTGGAGCATGCGGGGTGCAGCTACAGGCGTCCTGTCCAGGCTGCTCCAGGCCACGCCGGGCTTGGCGCCGGCATGCATCTGAGCTACGAAACAAGCCTGGGGCTTGGGCACCCAGACTGCGATGCACCCCCTGCCCGGGCATCCCACCTCACTCCCCACCTGCGGCCCTTCCCCCCCCGCCCCCGCGCGCCAGCCCCCATTCCTCGGGGCCGGACATCCGTGGCCGCGGCCTGTCCCTCGAAGGAAGCCCTGGGGATATCGCGCCCGCGCAGGCAGGAAGCACAGCTGCTGCCAAGGCGCTGAGCGCACAACCCCAGCCTCCTTGCACCGTGCGCCGACCTTCGGGGCAGGCGGAGGAGGGAGCCGGGCCTGACACCCGTGCCGAGGAGCAGGGAGGGAGCCCGGGGTGAAGGGCCGGGGGCTGGGAGCGAGGGGCGCTGGCCGGGCAGGGGGCTGCGGTCTTGGGTGCGAGGCACGGCACCTGCGGCATGCAGGGCAGGGCAGGGCCGGCTCTCAGGTTGTGCGGCCTTCGGAGCCCAGCGCTGCCCTTCTCTCGCTGCCCCCATGTCTGCCCAGGCCTGGGGGGCTCAGCGCCGCCCCCGGGGCAGTGGCTGGTAGCAAGCTGGGCCTGGCCCCCAGCCCCGCAGGTGCTCGAGCCCCGTCTTCCTGCCCCTCCCCTGGCTCCAGCCCAAGGCAGCCGCTATCCGCCCCTCGAGGCTGCCCCCCTCGAGGATGACAGCCCCAAGCCCCCCGCCCCGGCCTGCCACCCCCCAGCACAACAGCCACGGTCCGGCGCAGGGAGCCGCGTGCAGGGTGGTGCTGACCCAGGCGGGGGCCGCACGTGCTGGGGCCGCTGCAGGATGCAGCCGCGCAGGCGACGCCTGGCTCTGGGCCGCGGGCATCAGAGCGGGAGGCGCAGGCAGCAATCGTGCCGCTGCTCGGGCCTCGTCTAGAGCTCTGCGTGCAGCTCCGAGCGCTGCGGTTTCAACAGGCGCGGAGCAGCGAGCGGGGTCCAGAGGCAGTGCGTGCTGCCCTTCAGCCCCTGCCGCTGGGCACGTGGCACCACGTGCAGACACGACAGGTGCACGGCCTCTCCCCCCGTGCCCGCCGGTCACGCCAGCTCACCTGCTCTTGGTCTGGTCGACCTTGGCCTCCAGCAGCAGGGTCTTGACTCGCCGGATGACCAGGCCGGCGATGACGGCGCCCACCAGCGCCACGCTGAGCAGCACCCCGCAGGCTGCGCCCAGCAGCCCCTGGTGCGTCACCTTGTAGTCGCAGCGCAGCCCCATGAACCAGTAGTCGCTGCCCACCGGGCACCTGCAGCACCGGGCGCGTGGGTCAGGTGGCACCGCTGGCCCCCCCGGGCACCTGCAGCACCGGGCGCGTGGGTCAGGTGCCACCGCTGCCCCGTGAGCTGCCTGCAGCCTGGGGGGTGCCAGCGCCGCCGCCTCCCCCCAGCCCCGTGCCCGGGGCCCACACTCACTGGCACACGGGCTCGCGGCCCCGGGGGTGCGTGCAGATGCCGTGGTTCTTGCAGTAGTCGCGGTGGCACACTGACGTGCAGCTGGCGTTCCCGTCTCCGCGGCCGACGCACTCGAACCCGGCCGGGCACGCGAAGAGCAGGGCGCAGGGGTCCAGCCGGGTCTCTGCGGGCAGGGCAGGCGCGTGGCGGGGTCAGGCTGGCCACCCACCTCTCCCCGCCTCGCCTCGCCTCGCCGTAGCAGGAGACTAAGGAGGCCAGGCCCGGTCGGGTTCGGAGCGAGAGGCGCGTTCCCGTCTCCGCGGCCGACGCACTCGAACCCGGCCGGGCACGCGAAGAGCAGGGCGCAGGGGTCCAGCCGGGTCTCTGCGGGCAGGGCAGGCGCGTGGCGGGGTCAGGCTGGCCACCCACCTCTCCCCGCCTCGCCTCGCCTCGCCGTAGCAGGAGACTAAGGAGGCCAGGCCCGGTCGGGTTCGGAGCGAGAGGCACGAAGCGGGGCTGCCAGCGTGCTCCCTGGGGACGTCGCTGGGGATTTATGGACGTTGCCTCTCCCCAGACAAGGACGAGGGGCACGACACGACACTAGGACCGGGTCGGGAAAGCTGCAAGGAGGAGCGTCCCACGGGGCTGCTGCATGCACTACAGCCCAGACTTCGTGCCACAACCCCCGGCCGACGTGAAGGCTGCACGCGACGCACGAACGAGGCCCTTTATTCACAAGCAGCACGGCGGCGGGCGAGGAGCTGCCGTCAGCCCCCACGGACGAGCGCGGAGCCAGAGCCGGAGCCGGTCGACTGCGATGAGACACGCTAGTCAAACGGCCCGGGGGAGCAGGGTGTAACCCGAGCGCAGCCCCACGGATGGCAGATCTACAGCGTAACGGCACTGCTAGCCAACTTGCTCACCAGATGCTTCTCAATGCAAAAAGCCCCCAAAACAGACCAAAAACCCCCCTCAGACTGGAAAGTACAAGCACCCCGGAGTCCTGGGTTTTACAAGCCCCTTCGCAACGACGGAGCCGGGTGCTGCTCGTAACGAAGAAGGGTGTTCGTACCCGGCCGCCTGCACAGAACCATTTTTCCAACTCTTGATTTGGTCTACTAAAAGATAATCACCTCTCGCTACCCGAAGAGCCGCGTCTGCCCGTGTCCCTGGACCGACGCGGCTACAACCAACACCCCGCTAGTAACGCACCGAAGACCAGGAAAGCAGCCCGCCTTGACGAGGGACTTAATGAGCAAATCAAGCAATTGGGACCCCAGCCTCGAGACTGGCGCCTCTGCCTCTACAGCAGAGTGAACAAATTCCCACGGTACGGCGACATGCTCAGGTCGTGGCACCTCTACAGCCAGGGACCGATCCCTCGGACTGACCCAGAGAGCATCAGCTTCGCTCTCTGCGCTACGCCACGCGCCCAAACTACGAGCAACTGATACGGGACAGTTTGCACCACACGCGGGGAGACACGTCATCCCCGAACAGGGCGGCTTTTGCCCTGGAAGATCAACAGCGAGCCAGCGGCTCGGTCTAGCGCCACGTCCTGAGGATGGTTTTCAAAGAGGCCACGTCGCTGGAGCCGTGTTTGTCGCCCTCGCAGCCGCTTACAATGCAGGCAACCACTGCGGGCTGCTCCTCCTGCCCCGGCGAAGAGCTGCACCGTGCAGCGCTGACACCAACCCTGCTTGAACACAGACTTTACCGGATGGGCAGCGAAGCAAACGGAGGCCTGCCCGGATCCCCGATGCTGGAGCCAGCCGGGCTGCGGACGGGGCGGCTACGGGCCTGGGGCCGGGGCCGAGCTGCAGCAGGGACTCACCGAGCACGGCGCCACGTAGCACGCTGGCGTTGGCGATGCGCAGGCCGGACTGCATGGTCAGGTTGAGCAGGGCTCCCACGCCGGGCGCCGGCCAGCGCCCCTGCTCCAGCGCAAACAGGGCGTCGTACTCCAGGACCGCGCCGCCTGGCCTGGGGGGAGAGCGCAGCCGGGGGGGACGGTCAGCCATGGCCCCGGGCACAGGCGGGCGCCCAGCGCGTGCACCAGCTGGACGGCCGCAAGCTGGAGACGCGACCCCAGGCCACACCGAGGGCAGGGCACGTGGCCGTGGTACCGCCAGCACGGCGTCATCGTGGCCACGCGTAGCCCAGCGGCAGAGCTCACCAGGGCTGCAGCTCCGAGCGGGGCCGTGGCTGCTCCCGTCCGATCCTCTTCACTTCCAGGCGCTGGAAGCCCGGCACGGCGGCAAAGAGAGGCGCGACCTGCGCAGCAGACCCGGAAAGGCCGCGTGAGAGGAGAGCAGGGGGCTGCGGACCCCGGCGCCCCCAGGTCAGGCCCGTGCCTGAGGCCTCACCGTCTCGTTGAAGCTCTGCACCAGGCCCTGGTGCTCCCGCGACGCCGGGTCCTGGAGCGCCGGGACCAGCTCCATCTCCAGCACCAGCTCACAGGGGACACGGAGGACGTGCGCTGAGGACGAGGGGCCCGGGGGCACGATCACGGCTCACACCCAAGCACCCCCCAGCCCTGACCCGCCGGCTCCGAGCCATCCCTAGAGCCGCGGGGCTGCAGGGT